TGCAGGCAGGGACCGACAGGAGGCTTTGGGGCAGTGTTGCATGGTACATCACCTCCTCAGAAGCACCCTCAGCTCACCTCCATAAGAAAGGCATTGGTTACCTGAGCTCACCCTCTGAGTCCCGCCAGCACCCCCTAGTCAGGGGCCCAGGGCCCAAGCAGAGAGAAGACTCAAGAAGGCCAGTGGCTTTGTGTGTCGACTGGGCAGCAGGCCAGCCTGGCTTTGTCCGCCTTGTGGGCTGTCCAAGTCACGAGACAGAGGCCGTAAAGGAAACTAGAAGGGGCTGTTCTGAGGTGTTTGGCAAGCGGCTCCAAGATGTTAGGAGGCTGGCAGGTACATTGAAATGAATTAGCCATGGAAAAAAAAATAAAATAAAAATTTAAAAAAAAAAAAAAAAGGAGGCTGGCAGGGAGGGGACCGCAGTCAGAAGGGATGTGGAGACGATTGTGTCCATCCACATGTTCCTCCCATCCCGTCCCCATGCTGGCCTCCCCGTTCAGGCATTGCTCAGCCCCGCCAAGGATCATTGCACTGGCCATCTCTGGGTGTGGGATACCCTGTGCTGTGAGCTCCAGCCTAGACCACACTGGGCGCTGCGACTCACCCAGCCTCCCCTGCCTTTATTTCCCTCACCAGAGGGGCATTCCTCAGAGCCAGCACAGTCTCTGCCAGGGTGGTGGGCTCCTCCCTGTGGTGGTCGCAGACTGGAGCCAGGAGTGCTTATGCCTGAGTCTTGGGTCCTGGTGACCCAGCTATGGGGCGTTCCTCGGCCCAGACCCAGGGGATGGTGGGGGGGGCTGGATCCCAAGGCCCTTTCACCCTCATCGCCTGTCCCATGCCTTTTGTTCCAACTCTCCGGCCAGGGCCCGAGAGTGGCTGCCCCTGGCCCCTAGCCTGGCGCTGGGCTTGGCTCTCCCTGTGAGGAGGGACAGAGAAGTGGGGGCTTCTCCAGCAGTCACTGGCAGGCAGGGAGAAGCTAGCTGGGTGGAGGGCAGGAGTGGGGCTGGGATAGGACGGGGACCTCCACTGTTAACTCGAAAGGTGGTGGCCCCCCAGGCCAGTGCATTGGCTTGCAAGGCATGAAAATGCCAAGCAGGACGCGCGGAGCATCCATCCTGGACCGCAGGCCCTGAGCAGCCCTGCTTCTCTACCCGCCTCCCACTCCTCTGGGCCAGCCTCCTCCCGCTGCTTTTTTTAAACTCTTAATTCATCAAAGTGGATCGGCTACCCAGGTCACCAAGCCTGTAGATAGATCAGCCATTTATTTTCCGTGTTGTATTGATCAGGATTCCCTGCCAAGATGATTCAGTTACAAGGCCTCCCCTTGGCGTGTCCCACTCGTCAGGATCTGAGCTTCTGCTGCCCGCTGAGGGGCAGCCGTCCATCCCCAAGCCCCCCTTGCAGGGCTGAAGGTTCTCCTGCCTTCTTGTTCTCCACTCAGCTCCTGGAGCAATTGCTCTGTCGGCTCTTGGCACATGGCATCCTGTGTTTGTGTGTTTGTCCAATGTGCGTTCTCTGTTTCTCTCCCACATGTCAGATTCCTAGCTCCTCTCCAAATGTGGCCAAAGGCCTAGAATGCTGAAGAGCACTTGTCTTCTGAGAGAACAGCCCCCTCCTCCGATTGGTCTTTAGTATCAGTGCCCACGGGGCCACTCTCGTGGCTGGAGGTCCTGCAGGTGCTCAGCAGCAGGGGTCCACCTCTCTTCCAGGCTCACTCCCTCCCCAGGTGCCCGGGACTGGTGTCCTCAGACCACATGGCTCTGCTGCTCCTCGACGTGGGAGCCTGGACTGGGCCACCCTTTGCCTGTTGCAGCCACTCATGAGCGTGTCATCTAAATCCCACCATTCAAGTCCACATGCCAGCTGAGCCTGGGCCGTCCTGGCAGAACAGCCTGAGAGGGTCAGCTCTCAGGGAAACGAACAGTTTGGGGGTCCTTTCCCCCCCCCCCCAGTGGCAGTGACCTTGCCACAGCTCCGGTGCCCTCAGCTCACACTACAGTTGCGGCCCCCAACCCGCCCTGGAGGCACCTGCAGCCTGAATTGAGGGCAGGGCACGCTCTTCCCAGAGGATATTGGAGCCATAACACAGGCTGGGCTTCCCTGGTGGCTCAGACGGTAAAGAATCCTCCTGCCAGTGCAGGAGATGTGGGTTCCATCCGGGGTTGGGAAGATCCCTGGAAGAAAGAAATAGCAACCCACTGTAGTAGTCTTCCCTGGAGAATCCCATGGATAGCGGAGCCTGGGAGGGCTATAGTCCATGGGGTCACAGAGTCGGATACGACTGAGCAACTGAACAACATCAACAAAACAGGTCAGATCAAACACGTGGTGGGGTTTGGCTTGTTCAGTTTCCCCAGAGAGGTAGCACTGGAGGAACCAGCCACAGAGGGAGCCCCTGTGGGGTCAGAGGTGTGCGTGCCTGGGTGGGTGTGCAGAGGCCAGCAGTGCCCCCATAAGCCGTTGTCACAGGGGCCAGACAGACTCAAGGCCTGTGCTCATAGGGCCACAGAGCAGCCCTCCGTCGGCAGTCACACCTGTTGGCTGGTCTCAGAACCACTCATGAACCTTTTTACCAGGCAGCTGCCCAGCCTCCTCCCTGTTCTAACAGAAAAGACCCTGTCCTGGACCTTCATGGAGCACACGGTCCCTGAGCGCCTCCCAGGGCAGAAATGAATCCAGGCTGCAATCCGAGAGGCCTGTCCGACAGGAAGCAGCAAGTTCATCTTCAAAGGCTGCTGCCAGGCCTGGCCCCATGGTTCCCCTGGGAGGCACCAGCGTGGGTGTCATGGTGGCAGCCCGTGTGGGCCCACTGCCAGTCACTCAGGCTCCCACCCGGCTGTGGAGGCCCAGGCGGCCATGGTTTCCACACCACTGCCATCACGGCCCTGCGGGAGAGTGGGTAGCAGTCACCCACCTGCTCAGCTGCACCCTGAGACGACGGGTGGGGTGGGGGGCTCAGTGGATGCAGACAGAGAGGAGAGAGTAGGCACAGCCCATTGCCTCCTGGGCCCCTCTCCCACAGGCTGGGGACATCGTCAGGTTGTGGGGAGTGTGGGATGCCGACGCTGTGGGTGAAAGTGTTACCTCCATAGTGGCGCTGCTGCCCTTGTTGCATCTCAGAGAGTGTGTGCAGGGTCCCTGAGCAGGACTGAGCATCAGAGTCCTGCCTCCCACCCAGATGGCAAGCCCTGCCCTCAGCCTCACCCGACATCACCACTGCCTGCAGGTCTCCTGGGGGCCCCCTGGCGCTTCTCTGGAGTGCTGTCTGCGCCTCCTCAGGGACCCTGCCCTCGGCGCCCCTCCCTTCCCCGATGCTCTCGCTGCGGTTGGTCTGTGGCTAGCCCGTTCCCTCTCTTCCCTCTGGTCTTTTGTCATTCTCTCATCCATTTGTATCAGTTCCAGACTGTGAACCTTGGAGAGAAGGGACTTGAGGCCAGTCAGCCCAAGGGACTGGAGCTTAGTGCTCACTTGGGGGGTGAGCGTGCGCAGAGAGATTGGTGGGGACCCAGATGTTCCCAGCGGGGCCCCCAGAACAAGGAGGGCCCATGTGGTAACTGTAGGGGGCTCACAGAGGTGACACTCCCAGGGGGCCTGGAAGAGGCCATGGGGTATGCCCATGCGCTCTCCCCTCAGAGGAAGGACGTGGTCCCCGCAGGCGCCCCGGCCCCCTGCACCCAGCAGGCCCTTGGCCCGGAAGATGTGGTTTTGAGCCCTGGTGCTTCAGCGGCCCTCCTGGTTCACCAGAAGTGTCTCATCCCACGTCAGACATCTCACTCATTTCCCTCTGGCAACCACTGAATTTGAGAACGTCCTGTTTTGCCATTATCAAAAGAAGTGAAACTGTCCCATGAAACAAAGTAGGACGCCCGAGAAACACCTATAGGAAAGACACAGGGCTTCCCTTATAAAGTCAGAATCGGGCGCACAGCCTCCGCCTGTCTGAGGAGGTCCTGAGCCAGGCCTGCCTCCTGCCTGTGCCCCATGCCTCCTGGACTCCAGGGTGCAGCTGCCATGAGAGCCCTGACTGGCTGGGGGGTGTGGCTACCCGAGCAACGCCTCCAGGCCCTGGGGGATAAAGGGCAGGGATAAAGGCCTACAGGCTGGGCCTGCTCTGCAGCTCTACCTCCTCATGGAGGGACAGGATGCTCAGGGGAAATAATGGGGCATCGGGGTGGGCAGTGTGGGCATCATGAAGTCCCCCCAAGCATACGCTTGCACACAGTAGCCCCTTGAGTGCACACCTGTCACCCCATTTTACAGAGGCAAGAACTGAGGCCCAGTGAAGTCAATAGCCCGAGACCACACAGGCCGAAGGCAGTGGGCCAGCCATTGAACAGTGCTGGTTCCTGCCCTCAGGAGCCCCTTGAGCTGTTCGAAGGGGTGGGCAGACTGCTGCCAGCCATTAGGAAATTGCGTACATGGTGTGTGCCCATACCAGAAGTGACTTCAGGCCCTGTGACAGTTGGCCCATGCAGGACAGGTCTTCCCTCCCACTTGGTGCTCATCGTTCAGCCTCGGGACCTGTCATTACTGGCCCGGGGGCGGGGGGTGGGTGGCGGCAGGGGAGATGGAGAGCAGTGGTCTGCATTATCCCTTCCCTGAGTGGCAGTTCAGTGGGAGAGGGAGGTCACAGTTCTGTGAACCTTGGCACCTCACCTGGAGCTGAACCACACCACCACCATCCAGGCATGGGCACCACAGCCTGTAAGGGGGACCCAGACAGTCTGCACAACCCTGCGGGGGTGGGGGACACTCTCAGACTGTGGAGCCACCAGCACAGCCTGACCACGTGGGTGTGACCAGAGAGGGTCCCCCCCCAGGACAAGCTCCAGGCCCTGGGTTTGCAGGAGTGTGGGGGATTGGAGCAAGGACGTCTTTTAGATCCCTCCCCCTGTCATTGGCCGCCATGTCCAGCATCCCTGGGAAGCCATCATGGCCGTTCTGAGCCCTCGCTTTCCTCCTCCTTAGCTCACACTCTTTTCACTCCTTTTGTCCCCCAGCTGGTCAGTGAGAAGGTCGGAGGGGCAGAAGGGACCAAGCTTGACGATGACTTCAAAGAGATGGAGAAGGTAATGGGAGAACACACCTGTCTGATGCCTGGCATTGTTACCAACCCCCACAGAGCCCGGCCCTGAGCACTCTGGGGTTGGCAAGGCTTATGGGGAGGGTCTAGGTGGGTTGCAGGCCTCCCCCAGCTCTGGGCAGGTAGCGGTGGGGACACAGCACAACCACCAGCAAGGAGAGAGACCGACCCCAAAGCAGCAGGGGGTTCCTGTGTGGATGCTGAGGCAGGCAGGGAACTGGGAGGAGCTTGAGGGCTGTCCAGGGGCTCCTGGTTTGGCCTCAGGCACCCTGATGGTTTTGAAACTCCACACATGGACTCTCTTTACAGAAGGTGGATGTCACCAGCAAGGCTGTGACAGAAGTGTTGGCCAGAACCATTGAGTACCTGCAGCCCAACCCAGGTAGGGGCACCTATCAGCTGCAGGTGGTCTGCACCCCAACTCCTCAGGTCTCTGGCAGTCAGGAGTCCTCTGGTTACTGGAGCATGAAGAAGAAAGGCATGGGCACAAAGAACTGAAACACCCAGGGGTGGGTGGTTTCAGGCATGGCTGGATCCAGGCATTCAAAGGATGTCCTCAGGGTCTCTAGTTTCCTACTGCTTTATCTGTCAGCTCCTATTTCTCATGATCGTAGCCTTAAATTACCCTTAAAACTAGTGGTCCCAGCAGAAAAGAGCATGTTTTTCTCTGTCAACTAGCTGGACTAGTGTGAATTGGCTGGCAGGCCCCAGCTGTGTACCTGCCTCTGGAGCATGCAGTGGGATCTCGGGACCAAGAGGGACGCAGAGACTGCTGGGTTCTGTGGTGAGGGGTGAATGGGTGCTGGACAGGCAGCAGCAGCCGTCGCCTCCACCTGAGGCCTGTGCCAGGGATGGACTGGAGCTGCTGGGGGTGCAAGCATGCCTGTATCCCCACACCTAGACTGTCTACCACACTTCTCTGGGGGTCTTGAGGAGCACATCCCTCTCTCCCCCCCGCCCCACCCCACTCCTGCCCACTGGAGAGGCTCCCAGGAGAGGATGAGAGCAGAAGAGGGGAAGTCTGGGAGGTTCTGGTTCCCTGGGCTGGGGGAGCACTGCAGAAATGAATGGGCAGAGATGGGCAGCTGGTGGTGCTGGCCAAGCACAGGCCCGGCAGCTCCTCAAGACCACACCCATGCCCAACTGGCCCGTCCTCTCCTAGCCTCTCGGGCTAAGCTGACGATGCTCAACACGGTGTCCAAGATCCGAGGGCAGGTGAAGAACCCTGGCTACCCACAGTCGGAGGGCCTGCTGGGCGAGTGCATGATCCGCCATGGGAAGGAGCTGGGCGGCGAGTCCAACTTCGGTGAGGCCAAGGTGGGGGGGCCTGGATGGAGTGGGAGGCGCTGGGTGGAGGGGGCCTGAGGACACGGGGCAGTCTCTGGAGCTTCTCCAGGGCTGGTTGGCTCCGTAGAAGAGAGCAGTCGAGGGTTCTTTGGAAGCTCTGTCTCCCATGAGCACTGTCTACAGCATCATGGCCACGGGAAAGCTGCATCCCCCACAGCTGACCCAGTCCAGACCTGGGTGCCTTCAAAGGGCTGGGAGGGTGGCTCATGAACAGCTGTCACACCAGCCCCTGTGGCTCTGGGTCAAACTCCAGGGTCCCTTGTTCTCAGTTCTGGCATCAAGGTTCTTGGCTGTGGGGGTGACGTGTGTCTTCGCCGCGCAGACAAGACAAGGCCTTGTCAAGGCCTCCAGTGACAGCTCCCTCCCCCACCCCACACTCTCCCCAGGTGACGCTCTGCTGGATGCCGGAGAGTCCATGAAGCGCCTGGCTGAGGTGAAGGACTCCCTGGACATTGAGGTCAAGCAGAACTTCATCGACCCTCTGCAGAACCTGTGCGACAAGGACCTGAAGGAGATCCAGGTATGCCCCCGCCCAGCCCCACCTGGGCCAGATTCCTAGCAGGAGGTGCTGTGGGAAGGCCCTCCCTGAGGCCCCAGGCATGAGACCTGACCCCCGTCCTGGCCCGCAGCACCACCTGAAGAAGCTGGAGGGCCGCCGCCTGGACTTCGACTACAAGAAGAAGCGGCAGGGCAAGATCCCCGACGAGGAGCTGCGCCAGGCCATGGAGAAGTTCGAGGAGTCCAAGGAGGTGGCAGAGACCAGTATGCACCACCTCCTGGAGACTGATGTGCGTACGCGGGCTGTGCACCCCTCCTCAAGGACCCTGGGGGAGCCCCGAAAATGAGCCCAGCGGTGATGCCAGTGTCCCAGGGCCAGTGGCAGGCTTAGTGCCTGTTCAGGATGTGAAGGAAAGAAAGTGGGTATGAGAGGACCCAAAGGGGCGACTGGCCACCTGAGGCTTCGGGGTCTCCTCAGGCCCCTCCCCTCCTCCAGCTGCAGCTCAGGGGTCAGGCAGACAGGCAGGGATGGGCCCATGTCCAGAACAATCTGTGAAGTCTCCCTGCAGGAGGCAGCTGGAGGTGGGGGTCAGAAGGAGGGCTGAACTGCAGCCCTGGCTGGTCCCTTGCAGATCGAGCAGGTGAGCCAGCTCTCTGCTCTGGTGGACGCCCAGCTGGACTACCACCGGCAGGCCGTGCAGATCCTAGATGAGTTGGCTGACAAGCTCAAGCGAAGGTGAGTCTGGCCCGATTTCTCCCTGTGAACAGCGGCCCACTCTGCCAGCTAGGAGGCCCAATGGCCTGGGGCTGGGGCCACCTGGGCCTGGGGGGATGACCTGCCCCTGGGAAGCCCCACCCCGCTGTGAGCAGCAGCAGGGGGGGGTTACCTCTTTAGAAAGAACCCCCAGGCTGCATGGGTTGGGGGTCCCAGGAGACAGCAAGACCTCATCACACTCCCACTGGTCCCAGAGGAAAGGTTTGGGATATCTGGGGGATGGAGTTTGCTCGACTGTCCCTGGAAGGCCATTCTCCTTCCTTGTCTCCCTGGGTGCTCAGCCCCGAAGGTCATCTCACAGTCAGAAGGCGCCCAGGACCTTGAGAAGGGAAGTTCTAGTGGGGGTGGTTCCCTGATGTAGGGAGGGTGTCTGTGGGGTGGCAGCACCTGGGCAGCCATCACCAAGGAGGCTTCTGGGTTCAGTGGGACCCAGCCTGTAGGCAGCCTTGGAGGCACACCAGGGCACCCCCACCAGTGTTCCCATGCGTGGTATCCCCTCACACAGCCCCCCACATGCACCCTGAGTGCTAGGGTGGCAGATGACCTCGACACGCACTCCCTCCCCTCCAGGATGCGGGACGCCTCCTCACGCCCCAAACGGGAATATAAGCCCAAGCCGCGGGAGCTCCTGGACCTCGGAGAGCCCGAGCAGCCCAATGGCGGCTTCCCCTGTGCTGCGGCCCCCAAGACCACAGGTGAGGGGGAAGAGGCTTCTGCTCTGCCCCGGACCCCTTCTGGGGTAGCCCCCAGCCACAGGGCCAGTCCCCTGTGAGAAAGCACCGCCCCCAACCCCGGGATGGGCGCCAGGCCCCACCCCAGCATCTTCAGCCCACCTTGTGTTTTGTTTGCAAGCAGCTTCATCATCTTTCCGATCTTCTGACAAGCCCATCCGGACCCCCAGCAGGAGCATGCGTGAGTGTCCCACCTGGGGTTTAGGGTTCTCCCCCGCCTCCCCTCCCCTCCTCCGGTAGAAGTGGCGCCCCAAGCGCCATGCGCTTCTGTTCACTGACACCCTGATGCCACCAGGCATCGCCAGCTCCTCCCAGAGTCTTCCTCCCCTCATCGCCTACTCCTCTGGGCAGCTGTGGGAGCCATGGTGGGCAGGAGGGGAGGCAGCATCACCCTGTGTACCGCCTGGGGCATGCGGTAGCCTAGACCATCCCCCACCCCCAGCGCCCCTGGACCAGCCGAGCTGCAAGGCCCTGTACGACTTCGAGCCTGAGAACGACGGGGAGCTGGGCTTCCACGAGGGCGACATCATCACGCTGACCAACCAGATCGATGAGAACTGGTACGAGGGCATGCTGGATGGCCAGTCAGGCTTCTTCCCCCTCAGCTACGTGGAGGTGCTGGTGCCGCTGCCCCAGTGACCACCCCTCCGTCCGGATCTCTGCATTCCACACGGCCAGGGCAGTGCTCGTGGCTGGCGGGGCGGCCCGCTTCCTGCCGGTCCAGGGGCAGCAGGTCCCCGTTTACACTAGCACTCAACGCCAAGGGGCTCCCTTCCCCACTCCGCGTGGCCGTCTTGGGGCTGGGCAGTGTTCCCCATCCTGCTGCTCTAGACTCTGCCCCCAGCCCACCCGCTCGCCCCAGGAGGCTCACACTAAGGTGCTCTTAGAAACACTAACTCCTACCACTCTCCAGGGACGGGTGACTCCAGGTGGACCTCCTCCTCTCCCCCCACCTCTTTCTCACACACACAGATTGAAATACACATTCTTTCCCACCTCCATCCACACACATACATGCACACTCACATCCTCTCCTGTTTCCATCCAACATTCACACACATGTACACATGTCCTCTCCCACCTCCATCCCTCGCAGCCTGGAGACTTGCCCTAAAAAGGATGGGACTGAACGTTGGTGCGATGGGGTGGTCTAGGCAAGACCCCCTAGCTGAGACTCACCACCCTGCTTTTAAATCCCCCCTCCAGGGTCCCCTGGGCCCATGAATGCCTACAGATGCCACCTCCCTGGAAGGCCCTTACCCCTTCCCTCTGGCTGGGGGCTCAGGAAGAGACGAGCCTGGGGGTCTCAGAGGCCGGCCCCCAAGGACAGGCCATCTCCCTCCTGCAGGGCACTGAATCCCACACCCTGGTCCACCGCCCCATCTCCAGCCAAGCACAGGGAGCATCTCTCTCTGGCACGAGCTGCCATGACCAGCAAACACATACACATAAATATACAGACACACACGGGACCATGGGAGCCCAGCCTCCACTATGTGGAAGGTCAAGCACAAAGGCTTTGACAAGTGAATGTTCCTGAGCCCTGGCTGCTGGGGCCCCTGGGGAGTCCCGGGCAACTCCCTGTCCCAAGCCAGCCACCACACCCTCTCTGGACAGTGGCTCAGGCATCTCCACACCAAGGTAGGCAGCTGCCCAGGCCAGCAGCGGACCCCGGGCCTGGCTCACATTCCTTTCCTCTGGTGACTGATAAAGCCAAGGACACCAGGCCCCCCCCTTATCGTCCCTGAGGCCCTCTGGTTAACCAGCATCTGGAGGAGGCACAGATGTCATAGCCTGGGGCAGATCCAAATGTAATCCTGATGTTTTTTTTAAAAAGTATTAAATGTCTCTTTCTACAGTCTCTGGCCTGGTGGTGGTGCAGGGCAAGCCCTCCCAAGGGGTCTCTGGCCAGGGCAGGGCCTGCATGGGCACCAGCCTGCAGCAAGGGGCAGGGGTGGGGGTGGCTGTCACTTGCCTGGTCGCCAGCTCAGGCCCTCTCCACAGTCACAGCACCTGAGACACACCTGGCCCGTTTCTCGTTTATTATATAATCTGAGCCCCTGTCAGTCACACAGGACAAACAGCACAGAAGCCCTGGACCCACCCCCTCACCCAGAGGCGCAGGGGCTGCGTCTGACCAGAGCCCTCTCTCCTGTGTTTGGAGACTGGTGCCCTCAGTTCCCCTGCTTGAGGACGCTGTAAACCTGCTCCAGCATGTGGCCTAGGCCCTGGTCCTTGGGCATCCTGCTGGCCAGGGAGATCTGAAAACAGGCAGGTCCGGCGCCTCAGGGCTCCTGCCCTGCTAAAGGCTCCGCTAACCCCCGTGGTGTCCCTAAAACCACACCTCCAGGTGCATCCTGGGCCTAGGAATGTGGTCCAGGGGTATGATTCCTCCCCACCACGCCCACCCTACCCACCCAGCACCACGGTAGGAGGTAACCAGTGTCAGAAGAGCAAACATATGAAGCTGTTTCTCTGTAAAGCCGAGTGGAATGTGTCTTCTGAATGGCTCCCAGGAAGGACACAAGGCTGCCAAGCCCTTGCTGACACATACCGCTGATTTAACGGGGTTGAGGGGTAGGGCGGACTGGATTAGCCTACTCGCAGCACCAGCCCCTCTGCCTGGCTCAGCTCTGCTGTGCTTCAGACTCAGAGCTCCACCTGTTCAGAGGCAGCGTCTCCAGCCGGGATAGCCCCAGGGCCACAAGGGCTACAGGCTTTTACATCTTCATCCTCACTTGATAGCGATCTCCACCACTGTCATCACCCTCGTGTGACAAACGTGACTTTCCTTTGGCAGTGCTCATCTCTGACTAAAATATTTTTGTACAAGCCCATTTAACTTTTTCCTCGGGCTGCCTGTGGATATATTCCTGTGGGGCTCCCTGAGGTCTTTACAAAAGGAAGTGTTTGCACAGGACTCGAGATGTGAGCCTCACCTTCAGCTTGTCCAGGTAGGTGTGCTCCTGGTTCCAAGGTTCCTGGAACCTGACGAGGTCAGGGGCGCCCTTGTAGAACTCAACCAGCAGCATCTAGTGGGACAGAGAACACGTGAGCCCCAGCCGCTGCGGCCCTTCAAGGGGTCTCTGGACTAACGCAGGGCAGCATGTAGGGGTTACCCAGTTTCCCAAGAGAGGGACCTCCAAGCAGTGCCACCCTGGGGAAATGAAGGAGCTTGGCAGGAGGGAGGGCTGCCTGGAGGAGGAGACGCCTCCCCCAGAAGTGGAAGAATCGCTGCACCGATTCTTTCTACCCCGCCCTGAAAAGCTCCCTGGCCTAGCCTTAGTCTGAGCAGGAACATCTGTGACGTCACAGGTGTGATGAACTAGCTCCATTTGTTTAAGTGCCTATTGAATGGCAGGAGTGACACCTGAGGTCCTCACATGTCTCCATTGGGAGAATCAGTGGCAGGTGCAGAAGCCCAAGGTAGGAGCGTCCCTAGGACCTTCCATAACAGCAAGGAGGCCTGGTGGGGGTGGGGGTAGGGGCCGAGACTGGGACTGGGGACTTGATCCTGAGAGCCCTTGATTTTCAGCAGCAGAAGAAACCTGATCTGGATCTTGATGTGGCACCTTCAACCACAGCTTCCTGAGTCCCAGAGTTATGTCCAACTAGCGGGGCGCCCTCAGCCCCCGCCTGCTCTTCCCAGGGTCCCCCACCCTCGCCACCCCAAAGTGAGCTTACCATCTCATGGAGGATGTCATTAGTCAGGAAGCTGTCCTGGACATAGGCCATTTCCACATCCATGGGGATGCCGTAGTCACTGGGCCTTTGCTGGCGGAGACACAAGCTGGTCACCACTAGCTACGCCCCCGCCCCCCAGCCCAATACTGCAGGGCACAGCGGGAAGTTCCCTGGGCTGGGAGCCAGGGAATCAATACTGCAGGCCTGGCTCTGGGCTGGGATCAGATTCAGAGCCACGTGGGATCTCCGAAGAACCCAGCGATGCGACCAGGGAGGCAGAAGGTGGCATCCATCTCTACACACCCACACCCACACACACGTGGCCATGGCTCCCAAATTCCTTTCTAAAGCTAATTTCTGACACCAAGACTCGACTTGGAGAATGAAACCAGACAGGTCTCAGGTCGGAGGCCGTACTGGTAGCCAAGGCAGCTTGCTACAGTTGGAGCCCCAACCTTTTCAACACCACTCACACCTACTGCTTCAGCGCAATGATTACGTTCCTATCTCAGATGAAACTGAGGCCCCAGCTCCCCAGATGAGCCGGGAACCAGAGTACTGGCTTTTTACCTCTAACAAGCCCTCGTGACCCCGCCCACAACCACGCAGGGGCCCCGCCCACACCTCCCCTGAAGCCCCGCCTACCTCAGGCGGGGGCATGACCCAGAAGGGCGAGATCTTGGACTCTGGGCTGGGGTTGCCAGAATAGTAAGGGGCTGCGGGTGGAGACACAGAGAAGGGGCTGGACCTGGGATCTCAGTGACCGGCAGGGCCCACGCCTGCCCCTTTCCCTGGACTCACAGCAGAGCAGGGCGAGGCAGGGCTGGAAACCGTTGCTGGAGCCCTGCAGCCGCAGCTGGTAGTCCATCTGCGCGTCGATGTCCTGCAGCGACGGTAGCGCCGGGCTGTGCGGGTGGCTGTGGTACCAGCCTACCAGGGACAGGCCGCGCAGGAGCAGGCTCTGGTAGATCTGGGGGCAGAGACGCGGCTGGGGCCGACGCGGGACGGTGGGGTTCCACCAGCCCTGGTGCACTCACGCCACTCCCGGCGGCCAGCACGCCAGGGACACCCATCCAGCCCCACACGGCCAACATTTAATGAGCGCCTGCTGTGTACCAGGCCCCTTAGGATACAGCAGTGACCGACCGAGACAGACCCTGCCCCGCGCTCAGCGAATCCAATGAGGGGGACAGTCAACAAAGACATAAAGAAGATGCTCCAGGCTTCTCCGGTGGTTCAGTGGTAAAGAATCTGCCTGCCAATGCAAGAGATAAAGGGTTCAACCCCAGATCTGGGAGGATTCCACATACCGGGGAGTAAATAAGCCCATCTACAACAATTGAACCTGTGCTCCAGAGCCTGGGAGCTGCAACTACTGAAGTCCCTATGCTTCAGAGCCAGTGCTCCGCAATAAGAGAAGCCCCCACGCCTCACAACTAAGAAAAAAGACCCAGCACAGCCAAACAATTTTTTTTTTTAAGCCTCCTATATTCCCCAGTGGTCCAGTGGTTAAGGACTTGGACCTTTCACTGCCAAGAGGTGGGGCTCAATCCCTGGTGTAGGAACCAAGACCCCACAAGCCGCCGTGGTGCAGCCAAAAAATAATAAAATAATAATGATGATAATACAATAATCATAAAATAATAAATGCTCCTATTGTAAATCTAAGGCAAAGTATTATTTTGCTCACTGCTGTATCCCCCAGCTCACAATTCCTGGCACACAGTAGGTGCTAATAGTTAAATAAAGAGGCAGATGTGTGAACTCAAGTAGAGGCAAGCGTAAAGAGAAAGGAAGAGGTGGGTGGAGAAAGCTGTGCACAGAATGCACACCTATTCTGTCCTCCGGAACTGACTACGCTGGAAAAGGTGGGCGTGGAGAGCTCAGCGCAGTGCTAGGCCGGTATTAAGCACTGTTAGGAAAACATCAAAGGGGGGCATTTAATATTTATCCGGCCTTTACCAGGTGACAGGCAGGCTGAGAGGGAAGGGGCTGGCGGCATCTGCGCAGACGAAGAATGACGGTGGGGGTCACAAGTGCGGGGACTGGAGCTCACACCTACCTATCTGTACCCCTGCTGAGCGGCACTAGGCGCCCTGCCAGCACAGCTGTGTGCGCGCCAGCCTGCCCCAACCCCACCCCCACCAAATGCCCCGTCGCCATGCACCCCCTCACCTCCTCTTCCACGGTGGCCGCGGTCTCCGCGTCCCCCAGCCGGCTCCGACAGGGGAAGGCTCTGAGCACCGTGAGCACTGCACGGAGGCGGGAGAAGGGGTGGACATCGACCCCGGCCCCCAAACACCCTCTCTGCCCACGGGCCCCCAATACCCACTCTGACTGTTGATGTCCCAGCGGCCCCCCAGGTACCCCACGACCTGGCTGCGGGTCAGGTGGCTGTGGAAGTCCTGGGGAGGGGGAGGGACATGGGAAGACCCGCTCAGACTGCGCCAGGCCCCAAGGCCGTCCTGGGGGTCAGCCCACCCCCCTCCTTCCTCAGATATTGATTGAGTGCCTACTATTTACCAATAGTGAACAGAGCAGACAAGGCCTCTGTTCCAAAGACCCTCTGGGAGGGACCAGCCCCTCCCCAGCCTGGGAGCCCCTGAGCCCTAACGGGACAGGGTAGGCGTTGGGCACACACCAGCAGGAACAGCACGTTGCTGGAGACAGCCACGTTGAACGGCTGGAACTTGTTGATGGCTGCGAAAGACGTTACTTCCACCAGGGTGTGGGGGTTCCTGTGGGAGCCAGGAAGGTTCCACAGCCTCAGGAACCCCAAGGCCCTTCCCTCACCCACACACTGGCTGCCTCGGTCCCACAGCCAGCTCTGAGGATCTGAGGCCTTGTCTCCATCCT